TCCCCTGAGCAAATTGAGAGCATGGGAAGAGGGGGGAGGGAGCTATGAGATTGAGAAAGGAAGAAGAGGAAGGATGCAGAGGTCATGAGGGAGCAGAAAGGTTGAGTCAGGTGTAGATTAGAATAAAGGATATGTGATAGGTAGGGTTTTAGTTGGGGGGTGGTAGGGCAGGAAGGGAGGGAGAAGAGAACTGGGATTGTCATATAATTCAATCTTATTTGTAATTCAAATAAAAATGATTAAAAAATAATGAATTTAACTACAGTAAATTAAGTAAAATATAATATAAAATTATGAATGTGTACATACCCATAATCACTAAATTATAAAAATGATATATAACTAAAATTATATGTATCATTCACATAGAGAATAAACTTTTTCAATTGCATATGACCAACAGAAGATCTACTAAAATGCTAACTAGACTCATTTCTGAATAATAGAATTGTGTGCATGTATGTGTTCCAAATTTTGACAACTTTTATATGTTGTTTTAGAAGTATAAAATATATTATTTATAGTCATAAAATGACTTAAGAAAAATAGCATCCTAGTTTCTTTTCTTGTTGCTGTGATAAAACACCCTGACAAATGCAACTTAGAGGAGAAAGGATTTATTTTAGGTTATAGTTCCAGGTTACAGTCCATTATTGCAGGTAAGTCAGGGCATAGGGTAGTCATGTTGCATTCATAGTAAAAAAGCAGAGGGCTTTGGATGCATGCATGCTGGTTCACAGTTACCTCTCTCCACTCTTCAACATCTATCTATCTATCTATCTATCTATCTATCTATCTATCATCTATCTGTATATGAGTGTTTGCCTGCATGAATATATGTGTGCCATATGCATACAGTATGCCTTGAGACCAGAAGAGGGGGTTGGATCCCCTGTAACTGGAGTTACAGACAATCTTGAGCTGCTCTTTGAGTATCAATAACTGAGCCCAGTTCCTCTGTCAGAACAGCCACAAGTGCTCTTAACTCTCTAGCCATATCTCTAGCCCCCTTTTTCTCTACTCTACACAGTGCAGTATCCAAACTCAGGGGGTGGTGCTACCGATAGAGAATGGATCCTCCTACTTCAATTAACATACTTAAGATAATTAGTGACAAACACACCTGCAAGCCAACCTGGTCTAGACAATCCTTCACTGAGACTCAGGTGATTCTAGATTATGTCAAGGTGATAATTAAAACTAACCATTACAGACCACATATATTTTCAAAACAACCCCTTAAAACAACCCCTTAAGACTATATCACCTATACAAGCAGATGTATGTATTCGTGTAAGACAGACAGACAGACACACACACACACACACACACACACACACACACACACACACACCATGTATTGTATAAGTAGACTAAAACCTGATCATCTTTTTAAACCCTTTTCAAATTCTCATGGAAAAGCCATAGAATTTTCTCCCTCCCAACTGTGAACTGTAAAAATTTCACTTTGTGGGTCTCTGATGACCCCAAGTTACAGAATGGATCAAACCTCTTTATGAGTGGCAGGTTGAGAGTCCAATTCTAGTGAGACTGTCTGAAACAGATGTGATGTATTGTAGGGTGCTGCAATGTCCTTAACTATAATCTTCTTCAATAAGTACACACTCGAGTCTTGTATAAATAATACTGAAGATGGGCTACATGGAGCGTCTAACACAATCTTTTTTTTGTCTGGGGCAGGCAAGTTGGGACCTCCTCTTGAGATCAAGCTGGGAGCCTTGAACTGCACAGCTTTCAGCATCCAGTGGAAAACACCGAAGCATTCTGGTAGACCTATCACTGGATACACGGTGAGTCCAGTGGCATGGTGGATTCTGCTATTTGTGTGTGTGTGTGTGTGTGTGTGTGTGTGTGTGTGTGTGTTTGACTGTCCATTCTCACTATGTTGGTATCCCTTATCTGCTTGGGTTCAGAAATATTTTGGATTGGGGATTTTGTTTTCCCTTCAGATTTCAGAGTATTTGCTTAATACAGAATTAGATATCTTGGGTCTAGGATTCAAAGCTAAACCCCAAATCTAATAAATGGTTCATATGTACCTTATACATACATAGCAGGAGACAATTTTATATAATTCTAGTGCATCTAGGTTTTCACTCATCATGTGAGGTCAGGTGCTAAATTTTATTTTTTTATGTTTTGCTGTCACACAGCACTCAAAATGCTCCAGATTTTGAAGCAACCTAGAGTTTGATTTTTGTATTTAGGCACTCACTCTGTTTGTGGCCCATTACATAAATCTTCTTGTGTTAATAGCTGTCAATCTCCTCTTGTGAGCTGGTAGCACCATCAATACATTGGGATCTTTCCAGTCTTCTTGCTTTGTAACAAAGGAAAAACAAAGCAAGAAGAATGTGTAGTTTCTATTACCAGTTGCATGCCATCAAATTCAGATAATAATGCAGAAGCAGAGGAAGTCATAGGGGGTCACTGTGAGGATCTGAGTTAAAGGGGTGCATAGGTAAAGTAGGGGAATGGTTAGTGACTGCATCGTTCCCACCATGCTACAAACTAGGTTGAATTACTACAGCCCGCCAAGAAGCTTTTCTTGGAAGAGTGACTTTAGAGATGAGGCAATTCTAGAAGTCAGGACATTTCAGACTTCTGAAATTTTTGTGACATTGGGAGAGCTGGCTATATCAAGCCCCCAAAGCCCCACCTCTGGGGTAGACCATTTCTTTTGGAATGGAGAGAAAACTGCTTGAGTCCCACCACTCCCTAATGTCTTTGTTTCACTGAAGAACAGAGGCTGTTGTTCGCAGTCAATGCCCTCTTGTCTCCTTAAAGTAGAAACTTATTTTGAGACTGTCTTAGCAATAAAAACACCATGACCAAAAACAGCTTGGGGAGGAAAGAGTTTATTTTAAGGCAACTTTCAGGTCACCATCACCGAAGGAAGTCAGGGCAGGGACTCAAGCAGGGCAGGAACCTGGAAATGAGAACTGAAGTAGGGGCCATGGAACAGTGCTGCTTACTGGTTTGCTCAATCTGCTTTCTTCCAGCACCCATAACCACCACCCAGAGTGAACAGGGCCCACCCACATCAATTGTCAAGCAAAAAAATGGACCACAGGCTTGCCCAGGGTCATTCTTATAGGGGCGTTTTCTCAGTGGAAGTTCACTTTTTCAAAATAACTTTTTCTTGTGTCAAGTTGACATAAAAAAAAAAAATGAACCAAAGTAGGGACTCACCTACAAACATGGGAAATGAGTGCCCCAAGAAAGTTATATTTGGGGGGGAAGGGAAAGCTGAGTCAAACTCTGCCTATTCTTCCTCACAGAAGGGGTCTTTCTCCAACTTGTGCAGGCTTATAGCCCTATCAGGTACTACTCTTTATTCACAAGGACCTAGTACTTGTGGGGCAAGGTGACATACTTCAATACCCACAACCTTTCTCAATGTTTGTGAAGCTTTGATCATAGGGAAATGTTGCCTCTATTCTCACCAAGGTTTCTCCTTCTCTTCAAGGTATTCTTCTCTGAGGTTGGTTCAGACAAGTCCCTCCAAGAGCGGTCACATAATGTACCTGTTGGCCAAGATACCCTAATCACTGTGAGTACTTCCATGTAGGTGCCAGGGTGTTTGGGACCTTAGGGAAAAGCAAATAGATTACTGGCTTGCTACATGTACTTCCAGGTATATAATAATAACAAAGGTTTGTGTTAGCATCCTCAAGTGTTTCCTGTATGCATTGCTTCAGTGACATGGTATCTCTTTCTCCAGAAAGGCAGGCATTTGATGAAAGGGTCCATCCCAGACACACTCCATTCTTCCCTAAGCGAAATCAGCCACCAAAAGGCTGCCCACCTCCGCCATTATTTTCTTCATAAAATTCAAGGCTGACATTTTTGTAATCTCAATAAAACTTTATAAATAAATGTGACACGTCTGTGTGTTCCCAACCGGCTGGCGACATGATGCAGAAGAAATGATGTAATTTGAAATGTATATTCATGTGGTTTGTTGTTTATTTTATTTTCCTAGCCCAGCACCATTCGTGGGCTCCTCTTGTTTCCTGTCAGGGTCTCTCAGGGTGAACTTGCCTTTGGCTTCTTCTGGTTTCTTTCCTTTCTGTCCCTTCATCTTCAGGCTGGAGCTTTGGAATAGCTCCATGAAGCATGACACTGGCTCCTACAAAACAACACTCTCATGATGGTGGTGGTGGCACGGCCTGTCACTCCCATTTAATAAGTGCCTGCTGAGGACAGCACAGCCCGGAACCTATTTGTCATCTTCGATAAGCCGCTATTACTTATTAAGTGTCTGCCACTGCCGAGCACCGTCCCTCCTGCTTTATGTTTGTTTTTCTGTTTAATCTTCACAACTCTTCCATGACCTCATTCTACTGACAGGAATGCTGAAACAGAAAGATGAAGTAACTCCCCCAAATCATATATTAAGAAGAGCCAGCATTGCTGCACACCTTGCATGGTGGTCTGAGCTACAGATCTGGCTCATCTTTACTAAAGCTCTCAGGGCCTGGAAGAACCAGCTATGCATTTCACCTTGCCTGCATCTTCCTGCCAGCCTTCAGCCCTACACTTGATAGCCTCTGAAGCCCTCGGCCCCAGCCTGTGGTTCTCTCAATCCTAAACTGAAAGATTAGGACCAGGCATTAGGGTGTCCTGTCAATTTCTAGAATTACAGATTCTTGTTGACCTAACAACTGGCCTGTGTGCCCACTGCAAGGTAACATGTAGTCCCAGTTTGGGGACACCCATTCATTTGGGTTAGCTCCATTTAGGAAATCATCTGGAACTTTCCATAAACACATTGACCCAGCCATTTTCCATAGCAGAATCCCTACCTGTGAGAACTGTGAGCCTTGAAGCTCACAGACAAGGTAATGACCACATGGAGCTTTGAAAACTAGAGCCTGCTTGGTGCAGGGAACCTGTGCTGTGTTTGTGGCTCAGTGAGACCAAGTCAAGGCAGGTGTAAAGTAGAAGACCACAAGATAAGACATGGGGCTTCTTCTGAACCTGCCCCTCCCATTTGCAGGTAGAATGTATTCCAAAGTGACTTTGTTTAAGCTTTGGCTTTGTCCCATGGAAGGAATGCAACGATCATACTGCAGTGAGAGCAAACTGAACTCTATAAAATCTCACAAAGATGTTAGATGTCATGCCCGATGCTCTGATGCTGCCTGTTATTTACATCCAGGCACTTGGGAGTCCTGTCAATTTCTACTATTCCAGCATCTTGCTGATGTAACAATTGGTGTAGTGACTTCTGTATGTCCACTGCAAGATATAACATGCAGTCCCCATTTGGGGATATCCTTCAGTCTTAAAAAAATGCACCCTTTCCTGATGGCATGTAATCCTAGTTACACAGGAGGCTGAGACATGAGAATGTCAGTTTAAGGCCTGCTGGGCTACAGAGTGTGTTCAAGGATACACTATTAGTCACTTATTAAGGCCATATCTCAAAAGGAAAGGAGAAAGAAATAAAATGGGAAAGGTAGAAGAAAAACAGTGATTAAGGTAACAACTTAACAATAGAGTACTTGAGTAGCATGGGAGAGGCCCAGCATTCAAACCCAATATATAAAACAAAACCAAAATAAACAAAACTTATATCTACCCTGATAAAGCAACTTGAGAGCAGTATAAGACCAGATGCTGTTAACCTGTCATTTAATACACAGGATTTGAAAGGGAAATATAAATCTTGACACAAGTCAAGAGATAAAACTTGGGGCTGAAAATAGAAACAGAACTTTCTAGAAAGTCGGACTCAAAAGAATACCATCCCAATGGGAGGAAATGGCTTGGACCTTTAGGATGGGCATGTGTGTGTGTGCACATATGGCTGGGTGCCTATATGTTCGGGTGTGGGTGAGGACACTTGTCCAATATACAGTAATAGAGTAGAATTAATGACTATGCATAAATGCAATAAGCCAAGAGGAGGGAGTGGGAAGGCTTGCAGAATGGCTCTCCACGAGTTCAGATTCCTGGGCTACAAAAAAACAACCAGTCAATCTTTCTGAGTCTCAGTCTCCCACCAACAAAATAAGGATCCTAAAGCTCTCCGAGGCCACAGATGGTAGCTAGAGTTCCCAAACTATGTGTCAGGGGTTTTCAGCAAATCTTATAAGGGCACTGTTTAATACTTTAAAACTTTGGGGCTGTCATGAAGGCTTAATGCACAAAAGAAGTTGACCTGAGTTTGTTTCCTAAAACATGTAAAGGTGGAAAGAGAGAACTGACTTCACAAAGCAGTGTTCTGCCCTCATAAATGTTCATACATGTACCACAGCACGCACACACAAACACACACATAATAATAATCTTTCAAGGAAAACAGTAACTCTCTCTGTGAATTAATATTAAGAAAGAATTTGGAAAAAACTACTTAGTAAATGGAACTGTTGTGTATTCTTTTTGGTCCAAGATGATACAAAATGTATCTGAGAAGTAATGTGTGCCCAAGCAGAGGAAATCTGTGACCCCTGGACCTTAGCATATCAACCTGTAGCATATAGATGTGGTGAGAATTAAATGGGGCAATGGTTATAGCACTTTCCAGCACTCCTGCACAGAGTAAGACCTAGGAAGTCCTTAATATAATTCACATTGCAAAGAAAGGAGTACATTTGCCTCTGCCATATCCACGGGCAAAGGCAAGAGCTCTGTGGGTTGCATTTAGCCCTGCAAATTATTTCTTCCTCTTTAGTTCTCTTCTGTTTACCCTTCTTTCTCTCTCTTTGGGAACCTCCTGATCATCAGGCAATTTTTGCATGTCTTTAGGAAATTCAACCTCAACCGAACCCAGGATCAGGAAATGTTGAATTTCCTACCTCACCTGGTCTTACATAAGGTCTACTGTAGATAACTAATCCTAGGGTTGGCAAGTGGGATTTTAATCATTTAGGAAGGAGAATTAGGGTCTTTGTGCCTAATGTGTTATCTCACATGGCAAAGAAAGGCTAAAGGGTTGAAGTCCTTTGAACTCTGTTCTAAGATTACCGGAAGCTGATTGAAAAAGAGAAAATATTTAAACTTATTAACAGCATAATAGGAGAAGCCCCGCCCCCAAAACCCAACCTCTCTTATCCTTACTTTTAACTGCCCCAGAGTGTTCTGATGGTAACATAGGCCCCGTGACCAAAATTAAATTGACTTGATTTTCCAGATTGAATGCCAAGTAGAGAACTAGGTTGACAATTGGTTAGTCTGATTTAAATGATACATTGAAAGGTGGAACAAAACAACAGATAATTTGGCCAAAGTAACCTGGCTGGCAATGTGGAATTCTTAGAGGTTGTTTGATAGTCTTCCTTCTAAAAACTTCTAATTTCGTTAACCTTTATTTATTTATTTTTTACATTCCAATCTCATTTCCCCCTCCCCCTCCTGCCATCTGCTCCTCAAAGAGGGTAAGTCCTCCCCTAGGAAGTCTACTAAATCTGTCTCAAGGCACCTCTGCACCCCCACACCCCTGTGTCTAGGCTGGGCAAAGTATCTCTCCATATAGAATGGGCTCCACTAAGTCCGTTTGTGCATTAGTGTTAGATCTTGCCAGTGGCCTCATATATTGTCCCAGTCACACCATTGTCACCTATATTAAGGTGATCTAGTTTGGTTTTATGCAGATTCCCCATTTGTCAGACCTGAGTCAGTGATTTCTCACTAGCTTGGGTCAGCTGATTCTGTGGGTTTCCCCACCGTGGTCTTGACTCCTTTGTTCATTTTATCACTCGTCCCTCACTTCTGTTGTACTCCAGGAGCTTGGCCCATTGGTTAGTTGTGGATTTATACATCTGCTTCCATCTGTTTCTGGATTTGGTTAGCCTTTTGTACCCACTTCATCCATCATCTTAGAAAGATGACTTGAAGCTCCACTCAGGAAAACAAAATAATGAAAACAAGCAACAGATATTTGATAATATTTTTGAGAATTAGAAACAGAAAGCAATGTTATACTGATGATTTTCTTACATTCCAATTGTGTATCCTCAGTTAAGTGTTTGAGCACACACCACTCTATGTATATTTATGTATTTATAAATTATACATGTAGGGCTATACTAATATATTATGTACATTATAAAATCCCACAGAGTCTTCAAAGAGGAGATAAAACAGAAATAGAAAGTTCTGGTTTCTTCTGCTATCTTAGTAGTTTGTGACACTTTACCTGGAGGCTCTGGGTAGCTCTTTGGACTCTACTGGTCTGCCTGGGCCAGGACATGAATTCTGTTCAGGCCGTATCTAAAGTTGGAGAGAAAAAACTTAGGAATCGGAAGATTTGTTTCTAGTTCCCACTCTGATCAGCTGAGCAGAGGTGACCTTCAGCAAGGTCACTAAACTTATCAGAATCTCTTTGACAGAACAGGGGTGGATTAGCTTCCTGACTGGAGCTACATTGGTCCATAGAGGACATGTAAGAAAATGCCTGAGTATTTTAGTGGGCAAACACCAAGGTGATAAACTCACAGCACACAGGAGAGACTTCACACAAGGGGGAATTTTAGCCCAGGGCTCCTCTCTTCCATCCCATTGACCACTTATTTTTAAAGATTGTTTTTGCACACATGTGATCTC